TTCGGCGACTTAAACTCATGCTGGGCACATGTGTGTGCGTGCCCAAGATCCTGAGAGGAGAATGGAGGCGAAGGGATTGTGGCGTGGCCATCCCCCCTGAGGGGTGATTTCTCGGCTTTCTATCTCTCTTGTCTTTCTGGCAAGTGCACACGCCCTATAGCAAAAACCTCTGGTGGGGGGGAGGGGAGAAAGAAAAGCTTCCTACAGTGTGATATAAAAAAGATAATGATGATAATAAATGTTTAAAAAGGAAAAAAAAAAAAAGAAAGAAAAGTTTCCTGTTCTCCAGTAACAGATCACTTATAGTCTTCCAAATTAAGTTCCCTGAGGGTTAAGCACTTCCACAAATGTGAAACAGACTTCAACAAAGCTATTAACTTGTAGCATTTGATTCTATGACACAAAAATCTTTTCTTAAGGTAGTGGTTCCCCAGCTTCACCACATCAACTGTGAAGAAGCAGTATGTAATTTGGAAGAGCATTGAACTGGGAGTATGACAGTGTGAGGTCTTTCATGTCTCAGCTCTGCCTCTTATAATTACTATACCCTTTGTTAAGGCATTTAGCTTCTTTGAGGAGCTATTTCTGCCCTCAAGATAGTGTTATACATATGTGTGTGGGGAAACTTCAAACAAGATCTTATGAAAATGAAATCAAAGTGCAATTCATTTTCATGAAAAAACATTTTGAAGTCCACTCATAATTTTTTTCATAATGCACATTTTCCATAAAATTTTTGAAGACTCCTGTATACATTTGTTGACCACTTACTATCAACTGGACTAGGGAGAAATGTACACATGTTGGACTATGTGCCATTTTATAATTTAATCCTCACAAAAATACATGAGGTATCATTCTGCTATCATTTTCACTTTAGATATAACAAAATGGAGGTGTTCCTACAACTCTGACAAAGTAACATGGCATGTGCAGCCAAGCTTAAAATGGAGACTGCCCTCTTTAGAAGCTGATGCTTGGGACTTGGGAGTAGTGTTGGTGGTGGGTCACTGTTTTTTTTTTTTTTTTTTTTTTTTCCTGTCCGCTTCTGTAACATACTTGGCTAGAAATCGATCTATATAAAAGACTGAGAAATAAGTAAAATAACAAACAGAATAATTTTATGGCATTGTAATTATTTTACTTAATGAGAAATTAATGAAGAAGATTTTGAAAAATAAATATATCCTAGATAACAGCAATGTAAGTGGGCTCTACACATTTCGCATTTGTAACTACCAGAAAGCAATTATGGTTTTGCACAAATTCCTTACTATTTTTTTTTCAAATCAGTAGGCTGAAATATCTTTGTAATTTGTAAATAATTTTATCTTAAACTTAGATTTAATCATATCTTTATCCTACTTTACACATTTACTTCTCTTTCCCATTTCCAAATATGATGTTCCTAAAAGTAGCTGTTCTGGACAATCATTCTTTGTATGTTACCTTTAGGAGATTCTAAGAGACTAACTAGGTGCTCAGTGGTCTGGAAATAATCAAACACTGAGAATTTGTGTTGAACTGGGAATGTGACAGCATACGGTCTTTAGTACTATAGTTTTACACCAGCAGGTGCCATGGTAGTTATGGTGCTAGACTACCACATGGCTGAATGCCCTTTGAATCTTTGACCTACCAGCTTGAGAATCATCCTGAAAGCATGTGCATGTGTGCCCAAAATCTTGAGAGGAGAATGAAGGAGAAGAGAATGTGGTATGGCTATACCCTAAGGGGTGATTTCTCACCTTTCCTCTCTCTGTCTCTTTCTCTCTCCAGTGAGTACATGCACCCTATGGCAAAAAAATCTTTAAAAATATAAAGACTACCACTCCTAAACTGTAAAAGTCATTGTCTAAATATTGAGCATTAGCCATGTTAGATTAGGAGGAAAGTTTCCTGATGACTGAATCCAAATAGCTCATTTTTTTCATGAGGTAACTATTATCAGCAACAACACAATAATGAGGGCACATTCATGCTTTAATTTTAGGGGAAGGACTGGAAATTATATTCTGGCTGTTGATTTAGTGGACTTCTTTTTACCTTAACTGTCCCCTTAAGGAGTATATAAGATGTTCCTGATACTTGGCATCTTTCACCACCACAGACTACTAAGTTGATATGAGGTCTAACCAAATGAAAACATAGCACTATTCTGGAGCTATTTTGAAATCAAGCAACTCAAACTGGGTGGCTGCTTCTGCATTCATGGCAGACATACATCAGCAGTTGACCAGAAAACACACTTTCGTGGTTGACAGTGACATTCCATCATTCTCCATGCAGCCCTCCTAGAAGTAGTTCCTCTGTTGCTTATTTGCTGAGCAGAGCTTCGGAATGACTTCCTTGTCAGTCTTAAAACAACCATGATTTGGATCCTGACTTCCTGTCTACTGGCTCTATAACTTCCAAAAAATTATTACATTTGAGATCAACGTGCTTAATACACAAAGCAAAGGTGCACTGGTTTTCACCACCAAGAAGAGTGCAACAGAATCATCTGGAGAGTGAAATAAAGACATGAATGCACAGGTTCCTTGAAGTACGAGTTTCCCAGCTGCCTGAAGCAGACCTCTTTGAGAACCACTGAGCTTAAGATGATGCAAATGAAGCATTTAATGCTCTCTGGCAGCATAAAACCAAGCTTATGATCATTGTCATCTTCTATTTTAAATGATTTTTAAAGTCCCTTCTAATGTTAAATGCCTGTAATTCCAGAATAGAATTCTGTATTCCTACATCAGTAACTCAGTGCAATAAGAGTAAAGTAAAAAGAAATTCTGACTACTTTACGTTGTAAAATGTGTTTGAATTCACATTTGCAAGACAGGTGTTAATTCCTTCTAATTGACAGTTTGCAAAGATTTGATTTCTGCAAGACCTTTAATCAATGCAGCAGTGTGAAATGTAGGCAATCGTTTAATGAAGCAAACTTATATTCTGTGCAAGTTCCAATGAAAAATGAAGAAACTCCATTGGTAGAGAATAAGACACATGCTCTCCTGGTATCTTCATATCCCTAACAATCTGAATCTTTAGGGATGATGTCTTATCTGATACCTTTGAAACAATCCCAATGCCATTGCTTCCACTTGAGAATTAAGCAAGTAGGTGTAGTAATTAAACTGATGATTGTGGAATGCTGTGGTAAGTATGCCTGGATCACAACAGGTTGGGAGACATTGCTCTGTAAACAAAGTATGCAGCCTTGGCTGAGCTATAGTAGACAGGAAGATAGACAGAAAGAGATAGAGAGATAGTTATACTGATGCAAAAGAGAGGAATCAAAACACACTTTTGAACATTTAGAATACATTAGGCCTTATTTTAAATACCTAACAATTTGGTAGCAACCCAAAATCCTCACAAAGCAAAAATATTATTTATCTTTAGAATCCTTTACTGAGCCAGCCCATAATCTAATGATTAAGGGAGCCAGATCTCACATGGCCAACCATGATTCAAATCCCTGTCCAGTGGCTTGAAAAACACACTTAGGTGAGTGTATGTGTGCCCCAAATCTTGCAAAGTTGAAGAAATGGAGGAAAAGGGATTTGTAGTATGACCATGTCCCACTGGGAGGTATTTTCCACTCTGTCCTCTGTCTATCTCTCTTGTTCTTTCTCTGGCAAGTATATGTACCCTCTGGAAATCGAAAAAGAAACACACACACACACACACACACACAAAATATCTCATATCTATCATGATTTTGAGGACCTAAGATAAAAATTCTCAAAAAAGTGTTTTATAAAATAGAATATTTCTACCTTTTCCTATTCATGGCCAGAATACTATGAGATCAGATTCTTGGCTCTAGTGATACTTTTAAAAACAACACTACAGATTAATGCTCAGTCCTTATTCTGCTGTTAATTTAATATTTCCTGTCTTTCTCATTCATGTAGCTATTTTCTGATGACTCACACCTCATCTTTCGCCTCCAGAACTTTTCTATTCTAGTTAGTGAAATATCACTTAGTTTTGTTCACCTAGTCCCCTCAGTGGGCAGAAAATCTTATTTGCATATATCTAAACTGTATTGAAGATAGTTTTTTGAATGAAAGATTTTATGATTATCCGAATATAGTTTCTAAAACATTTTAGGACGTTCAATATCCAATAGAACAATGGAGATTGCATGAGACAATTATCTTTTTTTTTTTTTTGAGAGGTTTTTGCTATAGGCACGTGCGCTGGCCAAACAGACAGAGAGAGACAGAGAGACAGAAAGTGAGAAATCATCCCCCAGGGGAGATAGCCATGCTACAATCCCTTCTCCTCCATTCTCCTCTCGGGATCTTGGGCACTCACGCACACATGCCTGGCATGAGTTTTAAGCCACCAGATCTGGGACGTGAACCGTGGTCGTCTACATGGGAGTCCAGCAACATAGCCACTATACTAACTGCTGGTCCTGAGACAATTATCTTCAAGTTACTGTTAAAAGTTTTCTATAGCAGGGCTGGCAGGTGGTGCAGTGGTATTATTAAAAATAATAAGAACAAATAAAATAAAAATGAAAAATAAAAGGTTTTCTACATGACACAAATTGAAACTCTTATTTACTAAGCTATGTAATAATTATTTACATTTTATGTTAAATCCTAACATAAAACAGTAAAATGACATGCTGATTTTGTCAATGCTGTTGCTTAGACAATATAAATAATGTGTGATGAGTTTTCATTTAATAAACTTATACTGATACAACTAACAGAATTCACAGATTTAGGCATTTTCCTTCATTATTACATTTCTTTCTTCTTTTCTAAGTTGCTAAGAATTGGCTTTCTGAATATTTCATATATACATCTGTCTCAATCCCTGCTTTTGCTACTGAAATACAGGTCTTTATCTCTTGTCTTATATATCATGGGAGCTCTCTCCCTGGACTTCTTTCTCTGCTCCCCTCTGGTTCCCTCTTCACACTGCACTTAAAACCACAACAGTAATTTGCAACAGTGATCATGCCATCTGCCTAAAAGCCTTTTTAAAAAAATGTGCAATGCTTCACCAATTTGCATATCATCCTTGCACGGAGGTCATGCTGATCTTCTCTGTATTGTTCCAATTCTAGTTTATGTGTTGTCAAGGTGAGCTCTGAAAAACCTTGTAGCAGTCTAGAGTTAATAGTATCTGAAATGGGGGGAGGAGGGCACAAGACCAAGAAGGACTAAAAAGGGCAAAAAATAATAGTGGGTTCAGTGAATAAGAGTTAGATGGTCAATATTTGTCAATGTGTTTTTATGTCCCTAAATATAACAGAGTGAGCTAGAACTATTTCTATTTCTTTCAAGTGTTTATGTGAAGGCTTGGGAAAGAAGTCTCTGGATTTTATTAATATCATTTATTTTTCCTTATCTTACTTAATTGTGGCCATATTGAGAACATACAGAACACATGACTCACCAGAGGGAGACAGAGAGAGGGAGAAGAGATGTAAGAAAGCAAATCACCAGGTCTGGGACTCAAACCATGGTAGGACATGTGGGAATTCAGCACTTTAACCACCATGCCCTATTGGCCCATCTTATTTAATATTCCTCATGGGTCCTTCATCAAATTCAAATTCATGTTCATGTCAATTGCATTATTTTTAGTATTCTCATAAGGAAACTACACACTTCATCAAAAAGTTCTATACTCAAATAATGTCTACAATTAGAGTCTGAGTCCACTGTTCTAAACTGGTGAATACAATTTGATTGTGCTACACTTCACTATACACAAAGGGATTAGGCAGTGAGTTAAAAAGGTAAATAGGGGACCCTCCCCCCCCACACACACACAAAAGCATCATTGTGGGAGTAAAGAGTATGGAAATACAGAATAAGGGACCAGCAGTTAGAGTAATGGCTATGTCTCTGGACTCCCACGTAGTCGACTGCGGTTTGCATCCTGGACCCGGTGGCTTAAAACTCATGCCGGGTGTGTGTGTGCGTGCCCAAGATCCTGAGAGGAGAATGGAGGAGAAGGGATTGTGGCGTGACCATCCCCACGAGGGGTGATTTCTCGCTTTCTGTCTCTCTGTCTCTCTCTGTCTGTCTGGCGAGCGCACGCGCCCTATAGCAAAAACCTCTCCAAAAAAAAAAGGAAGAAAAAGAAATACAGACTAAGAACAGAACTGGAGAAACTATGAACTGTTTTAATAATTTCTCTGTAAATCAGGGTTAGTGGAGGAATGAAGCTCCTAGATTTCCCCCTTAATATCATATACACTGATCCCTTTACTTTATATATAATTAACTACAGTTAAGATTACATCTCAGAGGGGCTGTAGGACAGTCAAGAATGAAACCATTTGTTCTGAGGAAGCCTAGGGGAAAAAGAAGCAGCCTGCTCCTAGCTAAAGCACATCTCTTTACTGTTTGCTTGCTTGTTCACTTCCCCTTCCCAGGCCCCCACCTCATTAGTCTCTGTCACTGATTTCTCCCTTGCAGCTGACCCTCTGTTTGCTTTCTTACTCTGGTTTGCCTTCTTACTCCAGCTTGGCCACCTGAACATCAGGATCCTTCAGACCCAGGTTCGTTCAAACCCACTGGAACCATGTCAACATAGAACTTTCTAGAATTTAATGTTTCTATTTACTAAATTTGCAGCAGTGAATTAACTCAAGCTAATGATTCTAATGTCCATCTATATGGCTCTCTATAGTACCTTCTGATTTGAAATCAAGGACCAAGTTACCAGAAATGCATGTTGTATAAATTCTTGGATTGATCAAATTTTAGAAGATTCTGTTAAGTGTTTTAATTCAAACCTGCATTTGTTTGTGAGCTGTACTAGTTTTCTTAAAAGAAATATTTGCCATTTCATTCTCCAGAATGTAAAGTCAGGATAAAAAAAATGCAAAATAAGATGATCTAACTTCTTATCCTGACAGCACAAAAATACACATATATATTAGGAATAGATTAGTATTCGGTATATTAAGAACTACAAAACAATAAAACATATTGAATAAGAATAGTCAAATTACAAAGAAATAAAAACTGTAAAACTGTATGAAATAAGGTTTCTGTATTACTAATGATCAGATAAATCAGATTAAACAATACCATTTTTCATATATTAGAATGCAGGCATTGGAATTTTGATAATATCAAATGTTGGTGAGTTTATCAGGAAATTTTTTCTCCTGTATATTGATGTCAGGAAATAAAGTTGAACAGGGAAATTGAATGGCAATTTGGAATTGCTATCAAAATATAAAGTAAAAATACCACAGACTCAGGAATCCTATGAGGTATCTGCCGTAGAAAAGTACTCATACATATATACAACAAAGTCTGAAAAAAATATGTATTAAACAATACATAAATAAAATAAAAACAAAACCAAAAATGTATGAAAAAGGTAATTACTAGAAAAATAGACATATTTGGGCTCTGGAATATTATAAACATTTAAAATAGTTGAAATGATAGAGATGCTAGAGACGCATTGATGAATAAAGAAGCACTTGACAAAATTATATATTCTGATAAATACTACTTATGCAATGAAATATAATCTATTTTCTATATATAATTTTGTATGTTTAATGTTTATATAGATGTGCCTGTAGACTATGAAAGCTGGTACATTATAAAGGGTGGAAAGGATCAACACTAAACTAGTAGCAACATTGTCCCT